AAAAATATATATTTTATAATATATTAATTCTCGTTTAAAAATATTATTCTTCTATCTAAATATAAGAAATCTTATTTCCTTTTCAAAAAAAAGATTCTTTTTGCTAATTTAAAATGTAAAATAACACACGAATGCAATGTAATTTTAAATTTTCCATGAGAATTCTCGTGTAAGAAATATTAACATTGTAAATGAGAAACAAGAAGAAAAAGAAGAAGAAGAAGAAAAGGAAGTTGATGATGATGATGATGATGATGATGATGATGATGATAGGAAATAAGTAGGTTAGTCGGGTAAGATAATAAAAGAAATAAAACTAAGAAAAGTTTTGAAGTTGCAATAGAAAGATATGTTTAGAAGAAAAACTTGTGGAGGACAACAAGAAATATGACAAGTTCGTTGTCGTGAGACTTTCTCTGATAAATAAATTAGATTTAGTCTGTTGATTTAGTTGTCTCCTTGACTCACTGTGAAAGATAGAACGGAAATGAGTTAATTGTTCCGTAACGTCCAACTTTCCCGACTATGGGAAAATATGATTAAAGATATTATATCTTTTACAGGATTTTTATTTCATATTTATATGATCTAGAATAAAACATAAAAAAGGTCTTACGAAAATTTTGCGAACACGAGGAAACAAAATTGTATTCCAATTATTTTATATATATATATATTTTTTTTTAACATTAGTTTCTTTTTCGAATAAGTATAGCATGTTATAAAAATTGACAAATTATACGATCACTCTATCAACGACGAGGAACAAACCTAATTTCATTCGAAATCGTATGCGATGTCAACGCAACGTTTCATTACATAATACATAAAGTGATTGTAAGTATGTTGCAGTATATATCATTTCCTATTTCTTTCTTTTTCTTTTTGAATTCTTTTCTCCCCGTGTTTTGTGTTGCAATCAATCGAAGAATATATATTATAAATAACAAATAAATTAAATTAATATTCTTTCTAAGACATTAAATAGAAATTGTTGTTGTTGTTGTAAAGTAAATCCTCCAGATTAGTATTAATTAATAAAATTGATTCTTAAGTATAAAATATAAGTGAATAACTCGTAAAAAAATTTTTAATCGCATTATATTATTCTTGAAATTTCGTTAGAATTTTTATTTAAATTGTCGTGACGAATGTGATTATAATTTTAAGTATAGAACGAATCGAATTGAAATTAGTGATCGTTAGGTTACGTAATGAAAATATTCTTTCTTAGAATTTATTCGTTTCTCTGATTGTATTTTTATTTTTATTTATTTATTTATTTATGTTTTTCTACTGTCGCACGTTTAATTACGATTTAATGAACATAAAGAGACAAATTGAAAGGAGTCAAATTTTGATATAACTCAAATTGTTTTCATCAATTCGCGTTAATTAAAAAGAAACAAAAAAATCATTCAATAAAATTTACGATAGTGATATAAAATTCATTTACAAAATAATAGTTGTACATGAAAATTTTGAAATCTTTCCGTTGAAATTTTTCAATATTATCGTAAAATGATACATTACGAATTTTGTGTAGAATAAACTAATTGCGAATAAGAATTGTTGATGATTTTAATACCTGTGTGTAATAAATTTTATCACTATGAAATATCGTTCACGGTAACGCGAACGAAATAATATAAAGTTTAGAAAAAAAGGAAAAAAAAGTCGGAAGAAAAATTTGTCTTCCGCGAACGCTGTAAAACATATAAAAATTACATTAATGTAGAAAGGCTACTTAATAATAATAGTTTGTTCTCTACTAGCCATCGCATTGTTTTTTCTTCCGCTTTGCGTGTTGAATAATCTTAGATACAAAATTTTGTATTTTGTATTTTTATTCGTTCATTATGTATGCACTTTTGTGTGTGATGTCATTAATATATATTTAATTTAATTTAATAAATCCTATAATACGAAATTGATTTTATTTATTACGATAGAAAAAAATTAAACATATGTCCCTTGAAATTGTAATTATTTAATCCTCTGTAAAAAAAAAAACCATTCATTCGCGATTAATTTAATAAATCCTAATTCGAGATTGTGATTTTATTTATTATGATAAAAAAAATTTAAATACATATGTTTCTATCGTGTGATTAAATAAATATTTAATCTTCCTTTTTTAAAAAGATATTTATGGTTGACTGTACATCTATGATTTATTCAAAGATTTTCTAAAAATGAATATGTAAAAAGGTAAATGTGATTTATAATAAATGCGTAAAGGTTTAGATCGTAAATATAATTAATTAATGAAGACTTTTCTCTTATTTCTTCTCTTCTTTTTTTTTTTCTTTTCTGTTTTTCTTTTTATCTAATTATCTATCGCGTTTAATTTTTCCAAGATATAATTCGATCGATTAAAGATATAAAACTTAAAGATAATTACGCGTGCTTTTTCATTCGTACACGCGCTTTCTAATCGATCTTAACATTTCTAATTCGTTCTGAAAGATTATTATAAATTTTTTATTTTAGTTAGAAAAAAAAAGTATATGATCAACAAATAACAAATAATATTATTAATTAATATATCTATTAAATATAATTATATATTATTTGTTTTTTTTGATATATATATATATAAAAATCACTTTCTTCTCTTAACGTTGAAAGATATTGTTAAATAAAATAATTTGAATTAATAAAAGAAAAAAAAAAATATAACGGAGTAAGAAATTTTCGTAATAATGATAACATTTAAACGCAAAAGAAAAATTATAAACAGGATAAACGTAATAAACCAGAAATAGTGTAATAGTGTAATAAAACTATTAGGAATCTTAACTTGTCCAGGATTGCTGGTTCTGCGTATTACGGAACGTTTTAACGTGTTACAAATATTAAATAACTTGCCAATCGAACTTTCGTACCTTTCCTTTCGCTCGAAAGTTTACAAGCAGGTTGTAATAACTTGTAACGTTGTTTAATACATACATAATATAATACTTTCAATGAAATTTCCTACCATTGATTGAATTCATTTTAATTTTTATATTAATCCTTTCCCTAATCATTTCTTTCTCTTCGAAACATTGACAATGTATTATATTTATTGAAATATTAATTCATTTCAATAATTCCCTATATAATCGGTAA